CGAGACTGTTTTGTATTGTTTATAGGCTGGCAAATGGAAATGGTGCAACTGTGTTGATGCAAATTCTTTACCCTGTGACCTCCCATAGAAGTAGAAATCTTGTTCGTCTCAATTCTACTTTATTTACACCATAGTTAAAGTTATGGCTCCACCTACCAAAACAGGAAATGGCACAAGCTGACGTGGAAGAAATTAGATGGGAGGGTGTAATCCATGAAATCACCTTGGAAGCATGTTGATTTATCAAGCAGAGTTAAGTACGCTGGGGCTAAAACCATTCCAGCGAGAGCATGCATTGAAGTTCTGCTCCTGCACGTGGCCCCAAACTATGAAATGTCTGAAGTTTTCTGGTGTTGCTTTATGTTCCAAGGAGTGTGGTTTTTACGCTTTTACTAAGCCAGTCCAGTAGTTAGATGTTCTTGCTAGGGATGTTTCTGTTCACTAGTTGCTCCTGCTTTTCTGCACTGGTGTTCACCTAATCCTGTGGTGAGCTGATTCAGAAGGTGAAGCTAGTAAAAAGGGGATTACTGTTTCTGTGGTTCACGTCCTTGAATTGGCTCATTATAATGTCAAATGCTAATGCAGGTATAATGGAGAAGGCCAGAATGGGAAAAGAGGCAAAAGGAGTAAGACTGGCAGCAGTTATCTGTTAAATCACTTTAATTGTAAGAAAGCAGAGGGGCACATGAAAAAATCTGTGTAGTGTAAAGTGTTAACTATAAACACCAATTTTCTCACTATTTTCTGTTCTTTGCTTTCAAAGATGGAACACAATTTTTACTGAAGTGGTTATTGTTCTCTCACAGCTTCCAGCTCCTGAATGTTGTGGGAGAGAGAAAAAAATTGTTTAATTAGTGGGAGAAGTTTGGAGAATGGAAACAATAAGAACCTTTTTGCCAAGACCTCTGTAGTTCATTCTTAGGGGGTGGGGAGTGTGGTGTAAGAACCCAAATCTGTCACATTAGCAAGAAACTTTCATTCTATTGTTTAAGTTTTGATTTCTGAGAACTGACTTCTAGGATAGTTAGACTTTTTAACCACTGGGCCAAAACTTAAACAGACTGGGATGGTGAATTAATCTTCTTAGGCCACTCCAGCTTTTAAAAAAAAGTATTGTCTTGGAAATTGAAAGCTCTAAAATGGTAGCTATTGTCAGTCAATTGAAACTTCTCAACTGACTACATCATGAAACAAAACAGAAGGCACCACTTCTTCATGCATTTAGAATCATGGAAAGGAAGCTTATGAGTATAATTGAGTGCACATGAAATTCGTGGAAACTGAACCTATTGTCTTGATGGATGAATGTACCAGTACATTTTACCTTGTATCTTAAGCCTTGAGTTATTAATGGAATTGAAATAAGCTCTTACAGCCAGACCTAGTTAGTAAGGAGCTTCTGGTGAGTAAATATTCTCTTGCTGATGAGGTCCTCGGACTTTTTATAATGGCAGATGCATTTTGCAGAACAGTAAAGGATTTTTTGTTCTCTTCCGATGTCAGGAAGAGAAGTTTGGATTGTAAGATTGCTTCAGCTCTTCATCTTTCATATGACTGCAGTGCTTCACTGTTTCTGTCTAGACAGAAGGCTAGGGGATTCCATTTCTCAAGCAAAATGTGCAGTTAGGCGAGTTCCTCAGTAACACTTGAGTTTATAGGTCTCTTCCATACTTTATCTTCTTTCCAACATGAAGCTAAATTAAAGAGTCCTCAGTAATCAAGGCTATGAATAGTAGAAATCTTCCTTCCAGGTACGAAGTTCTTAGGAAGTTGAAACTGGTTTAAAGAGTATGTTTTAAAATGGAAACTTCCCAGTAGGATAAACCTGTATCTGGCAGTCTCTCTTTGTTTCCAAAAGCATCTCTTTAGAAGATATTTTCCTTGCAGAATGAGAGACTCTGTATGATTGGCATTCATAGTAGTAGTATTCAAGAGATCAGGAACTTATCTTGGCTTTTAGTGCAGTCATTGTAGCTTTATCCCTAGATTATTTACTAGAATCAATTTAGGGATCTTACCCCTTTATTTTACATTCATCTTTTTACAATGTGACCTCTGTAGCCTTTACTCTAGTAAGGGTCAGAGCTTTTGTCTTCCAGACATGGATCTAAAGTGTCAGAGTATTACCTGTTTGCATTTACTTACTTGTAGGTCTTCTGAGCTTCTGTAATGCTTCAAGTTTGCCCACTACACTTAAGAATCCTGTCCAGAAGACCAAGTAAGACTTAATCCCTCAGTGTAGGCAGTGCTTGTGGAAAATCAGTTTTGTTCACATTAGGCTCAATTTTCTGATCACTGAGGTTAACCTTTCAGTTTGAGTAAGAAAGGTAATGCTCTTCACAAAAGGATTTTGATGCTGATGAGAAGTCAGCATATCAACTCCATACAGTAATCCTGTTAGCAATCCAGGATTGCCTCAGAAGAGAGATACAATCTACTTGTATGAGATGTGTATCAGTAAATGACGTTGATGTAGAAGAACGTACCTATTACAAAATTAAAATAAAGCAACACAAGCTTCCTTGTGCTGAAGTCTCAGTTAAACCATATGACCCCCTTTTCTCTTCCATCTGCTGCTGCTTCCATACTGGAGTTAACTTTTTATTGCACAAAACCCCTTAGAAATCTTATAAATGAGAAGTGTCCCATCTGGGTTAAGTATGTGAATTTTCAGGGGGTCTAATTGTATCGAAGCAGAAGAGAAAGGGGAGGCTCTTTGAGTGGAGAGACTAAAACTATTCTTTGGTCAGGTTTGTGAAGGTTGCATCACAGAAGATAACGCATTGGTTTGGATAGACAGTAAGATCCCCTTTTCCCTCCCAACTGCCTGCTCATGGTTACTTGTGAGCATGCTCAGAAGTTGTCTGTTCAAACATGACTACCCCTGCTTTATTTTTCCCTCTTTTTATAAGCTTTTTAATAATTCCATGACCAATAGTGTCTAAAGAAACTTCAGCTTAGAAATCCAAGTTCTTGCCCCTGTACCTGACTCTACCACCTACTTAGGAGAATGTATCAGCTTCATCTTTGTAGAGACCTTAGCCTGTTCCTGTGGCTAATATTGTAGGATTGGGCAAAGGAGAAAAATGCCATCTTATCCAGGCAGTCGGCTTTGCATGTGCATACAACTAAGCTTAATTTTTTGATCAGTGCTACAGCATGTAGTTGCCCACTGTGAACATATCTATTAAATGGTAAACATCTGATCTCATAAATAAGACTTAAGTTTCTGCACAGATTCTTATTACCAGTATGATCTCTCTAGTGAATTAATGAGGCAAATATCTGAAACTGCTTCACAAAGGCATACTGTAACTTTTACCACTAGTTGACCTAGTAGAACAGCTCCTCTCTTTCTAGAACTTATTTTTTAGTAAGCACAACTTTATATGGACCAATAAAGGAGTGATTGTTCTAATAGCTGACAGTTTTATTGAGGACTGTTTCTACTGTGGGTATTCACTTCAGCTGGGATGCAAGTTTTGCTTTCTAGTATTTCATTCCTTAGGCTGCTCAGTATTCACAACTGTCAGTCTCTCTTAAATGACCTTCTCCTTTCCCCAGGAAAAGCTTTAAAATATTTTCTTGTTCTTGAAAATATTTTCCTAGACAGCCTATTCGCTAACCAAAGAATCTTATTCGGAAAGCAAGGCTGTGTGAGGGCAAGTAGTAGTGCTGGAGGTCTATTTAAAGTTTGCTTGGTTTAACTGAAGAGTCTTTGCTTCCAGGCAATTAATCTTTAGAGAAAGAGCAGTAGTATATTTCAGTAATTACTGTTAAAGGTCCTTGATGATCTGAGCCAATAATGTCTTTTAATATGGCAACTCCTAAACTACTAATTGGCCAAGCCCCATCTCTTGCTATACTTCGAGCCAGATGGCTGGGAATGGAAAAAACACTAGTGGTTTGGGATAAAGAATAGGTTTTTCCATTATTTTCAAGTTCAGAATACTTTGGAGTTAAGGGTGAGGTAAAAAGCAGCAGTAAAATGTAGGGGAAGCTACTTATCTGTTGCCGTTGTGTTATGGCTGGAAAATATGTTTTACAAGATCTGTGTTCAAAGTTGTTTCAAAAGGCTGTAGCTTGCTTTTCAGCTTTCTCAGTGTAGAAAATAATTGGTCATTTAAGAATTGAGGCAGTCAGGTGTTTTCTGACTTCAGTAATTCCTATAAACCCCTGCATCTGTGCTTGCCTCCTTGCTTGTTGTCTGTTAATTGCACCAGGCACACAGTGTTATAACATCACCAGTATGACTGCTTATGATGCATATGTAATTGCTGTTGGTCAGGCTGGAAGGAGGAGGAATAGTAATCAGTAATACCAGTTCCATTACAGTATCTGTTTCTGTAATCCTACATCCATCTTGCTTTCCCTGAAGAATTATCACTCAGATTTCCGATGGAAAGCGAGGGGAACAGAACTCCTAACTAGCAGTGAAGTGGGTGACTGGTGTGCATATACTAGTCTTGACTGGCAGACCGTCTCCTTGTTTCTTGGTAGGTGGAGCCCTAACTTTGCTGTTGCTGGGTAGAATGGCAGAAGACTATAACAATTACAGTGAGTAACTTTGCTGTACAGATAAGTACAATGCAGAACACTGTTCAGAGGACTGATTCTGTCATGACACCTAAAATTCTAGCCCGTGTATCACTAACAGTGTTGCTGTTCTTGTTCTGTTTTCCCAACCTTAGTTCTCATCTTTTAATTCGAATTTGGTAGAGGTATAACTTTGGCTTTAGATTGCACTGACTGGAACTGACCTCTGATTGCCATAGACCTGTTGACATTGTCTCCTTGATGCAGGTTCAATTAAACTTTTGCTAGATGTGTAAAATAAACATAGTGCTAGCTTGTATTTTATTTTTACCTTTGAAAAAAAATCATTAAATTTTACAGTATTCACATGAGTTGATATTTGGGTGCATTTTCACATGCATAGCCTGTATATACTGTACTTTCTGTAAAGTTGCTTTTCTTTTCCCCTTTTTCTCTGCCAAAAGGATTCTGATACACCACCTTGCACAGCTCCTAATGTTTACCAGTTCAGTCTGCAAGCACCGACTCAGCTTATGGCCAGTTTACCACCCGCATTGCCTATGCCAAGTGGTAAACCCCAATCTGCGCCTACGAGAACCTTGATAATGGCCGCCAGTAATCAGGTATGAGCCAACTAAATGGAGCGACTTTTTCATGAGAAAGTGATCAAATCGGAAGTGTAGATCATTTGCGCTGTGCTGTCAGTCTAAAAACCTCTGAAGATAACCTTCATATAGCATGTGCTAAACTTCATGTAATCATAAAAGTACTTACCTGCCATGTCAGAAGTGTGGGGAGAAGAATGGGTGGGAAAGGGTTTGGTGTTTGAGATGCATCTCTGAATATAAGAGCCCTTCCACAGCACACTGACATCTAGGAATAAGTTGAAGGGAGAGTCTCAGATGTCTGACTCCTTAAGTTGTATTTGAGACTCCTGGTGCCTAACCAGTGGGATATTTGCAGCTTTTTAGGCTATTTAACTTCCTGTTCTTAAAATAGACACTTCATGTAGGTGGTGTATCTGTAAGCTAGTTTTTGAATCTGAAGAAATAGTACTGACCTGTCTAGGCTTGTTTAGTTGTCTTGATTTTGAACTATTAGAACAGATCTGACTAGACTTGTAACTTTCTGTAATACATTTTAAAGATAGAGAACAGAAAATTAATTACGGGCATGTGTACAAGAATTTTTACCAAAATATTAAATGTGTGCTAAAATGTGCTGGGAGGTGAATGTGCAGGGAAACTGTATGCTACTCAACTAGCCTGAAGTATTTTAGCTAATGTATCCATTATAGTACAAGGGGAAGAAAAATCCTCAGTTTTTCTTACAGCCTCAGTGCCTCTATCGGAAAATATTCCCTCAATCTTGATCATTAAAACTATTCGTCAAAACAGCTGCCTCACATGAGCTGTAATGCAAGTTGTGGGTTGTAGGTTGCCTATGGTAACAAAATAATGAGCTGGTTTCTTTGAAACCTAGTTTTGGTCAGGTTCTTACAATGTTTTCCTTCTCTCAGTCCTTCTATCACAGTTTTTGGGAATCTAGGGCCAGGATATTTTCAACTTAATAACCTTGTCTTTTTTATTTGATTCAGCACTTCTTTGACACTTTGGGCATGATGCAAGATGTATTTGCTTCAGTTTCTGCTTCAAGATTGTTCAAGTATTTTGCAGAATCACAGAATAGTTGAGGTTGGAAGGGGCCTCTGGAAGTCACTTAGTCCAACCCTTCTGCCCAAAACAGTGTCAACTACAGCAGGTTGCTCAAGGCCTTGTCCAGTCAGGGTTTTGAGTATCTCCAAGGATGGAGACTCCCCAGTGCCCTGGGCAACTTATTCCAGTAAAAAAGTTTGTTCTTAAATTTAAATGGTGTTTTCTGTATTTCAGCTTATGCCCATTGCTTCTTGTCCTTTTACTGGGTACCAGTGCGAAGAGTCTGCCTCCATCTTCTTTACACCCTCTCATTAGTTAGACCCATCAATAAGATCCTTCCTGAGCGCTCTCTTCTTGAGGTTAAACAGTCCTAGCTCTGTCATTTCCTTGTATGACAAATGTTTCAGTCCTTGTTCATCTTCATGAATCATCATCACTCCCATATGTCCATGTCTCTCTACTGGGGAGCACAGACCTGGGCCCAGCACTCCACGTGTGGCCTCACCAGTGCTGAGGGGAAATGATCACCTCTCTTGACCTGCTAGAGATACTCTTCCTAATGAAGTCCAGGATGCTGTTGGCCTTCCTTGATGAAAGGGCACGTTGCTGGCTCATGTTCAACTTGTCCGTTGGGAATCCCTGGTCATTTTATGCCAGGCTGCTTTCCAGCTGGTCAGTGCCCAGTGCGTACTGGTGTGTGGGATTATTCCTTCCCAAGGGCAGAGTTTAGCATTTCCCTTTTTCAAACTTCATGAGATTTCTGTCAGCCCATTTCTCCAGCCTGACGAGGTCCCTCTTTATGGCAGCACAACCAACTTACGTATCAGCCACTCCTTCCAATTTTGTATCATCTGCAACTGTGCTGAAGGTCACTCTCTTCCATCATCCAGTTCATTAATGAAGATGTTAACTAGTACTGGCCCTAGTATCAGCCCTTGGGATATACCACTGGCTGCTGACCTCCAGTTGGACTTTGTGCTGCTGATCAAAATACTTTGAGCCTGGCATGTAAGGGAATACTTTTCATTCAGCTTGTGAGTTTGATTTATATGTCTAGAGATGGTAACTGCCACTTACTACAGAATAATAAAAAAATCAGATAGTGCTTTAAACATTGAAACATTTTGATGAATAATGAAGAAATTTCATCTGGACAGCATTTTCAACGTTCAGTAATATCAGTATTGAGTTAGGGCATGTTATAGCTTGATGCTCAAATTCTTCATAGTTATTACACAAGTGCTTGTTTTAGGCACTTCACTGAAATGTTTTTCACTCTCTTTTTCATTTAGACCAGGCTACTTTGCATACTGTAGGTGTTTCACTATTTCCTTGCCCTCAGGTTAATATAGAAGGGGCACCATCTTTGAAAGCTGTTATCACATGCTCTTCCCAGCTACCTCTGCAATCCTCAGTCATCTACCAAGCCCCACTTGTATCTTGAGGTATGCCTTTTGGTTTAATCTTGTAAGTGATTACACAGATTCCTCCCTGCTCTTCTCCCCTTTACCTGCCCTCCCCTACTGCTGAATCTTACCTAGGCAAAAACAGCTTATCTGCACAGGAAATGTTTTCTATTAGTGAGAAGCTAATAGAACAATATATTGCTGTTTTAGTGTCTGCAGTTGAGTATTCACATGCTAGTGTACAGTCTGAAACATTTAAAGTTTGTTTAAAATAAAACTGGAGAGCTATTTTAAGTTAAACTTAATCTAAAACACGAACTTAGTCTAGTTTATTCTTTTCCTTAACAACTCTGCTTTTCTGAAGAGGTACCCTGGAGCTTAACTTCATCAGAATTACACAAAAAAAGAATCCAGTTTTTGAGGCATGCAATTGTTGGTACAAAACAAATTGGCATCCAGAGTTTTTGCCTCAGTTGTGGAGAGGCAATGTGTTGCATGAATTTTGGATCTCTGTTGGAATTTTGAATCTTGGAAAACAACTGCTTTGTAGCACTTTTTCTGGCTTTCTGTTACTTGGCTGTCCTTTCCAATACTTGTTAACTGTTCTTTTAGTAGTTTGTACAATACTTATATGTTTAAAATTGGGAATTTTTCTGTGGCTTTTGCTTGACAAAGATGTGCCTTTGAGATTCATGTTACATCAGAGGAAATTTCTTGCTATCTGCAGTTCAGAAATGGGATGATGGTTTTTCTGCCTTGAATTTACCAAAAGCTTATGTATTGTGAAGTAGAAATGTTCTTTTTTTGATAAGGATTGTGACCAAGTCAGAAGTGGGAAATGAAATCATTCTACCCAGAATACTGTAAATGCTCCTTGTCACTTGCAGCTTTCTGGAGCATGACTGAGCTAGATTAGGTTGATGGCTTTCCTTTTGCAGTTGATGTAACTTCAGACCATGCTAGTTTATAGCTTTTAATGGGCATATTTTACTAGCTCAGAGGACTCCTATCCTGGTAGACTTGAACGTGTACAACTTTTTCTTAACAGCAAGTGTTCTTTCATATTCAAAAAGTCTTTGAAAGGGATTAATTTGTCTGCATGGTGTCTTCAGCCTTTTCCCTGGCAACTTTCTCTGCCTCAGTTCAGCTTGGAAGCTGTACCTAGGTGTCCAGTACTACCCTCGAAAGTAGGAGGTGCCAATGTCAAGAGCACTAACTGTGTTTTGAACAACTTGCAGCCTTCTAAGCAAATTTCTCTGCCATTAGAGCTTCCTAATACTTTCTTTTTTGAAACAGCTTTGGTGTGATTACCAATTCTATTTACATACTGCATAATTAATTGGAGAATTTCCAGGTAGTTCAGGGACTAATTAAGCTCCTGATACAGGTCTGCTTGCTTTTCGGGATCATCATTATAATTTTTCCAAGGTAATCATTCTTCTACTTTGCTGACAAGTAGTTTGAAATTTCACTTGGGAGAGCAGAACAGTTTATGAAGCAGTGCTGCCCACTGCAATAAGCAGAAAACCAGATATTGGCATGCATGTCCAGATGAATGGAGGGGGTGGAAATTGCTTGGTGACTTCCCATGGAGAAGAAAGGACTACTTTCCTTGTTGTTATTTTGGGATGAAATAAGTTCAGTTTGTTCTTGGATTGTTGGTCACCTAGTCACCAATGAAGACAGAAGAAACTTCATGTCGCTTAGGTCAGAAGAACTCTTTTCTTTTACGCTTTAAGTTGCGTTTTTTTTTCCAAAGAGTGGTCTTTTGATTCAAAAGTATCTAAAGCCAGTAAGCACCAGTCCTTCTGCTGCACTGGCTTCTGGTGTGTCTAAGAAAACCTCTACTGAAGACCCTTTACACGAGTGGAGTCTGATCGTGAATGTGTTCATTGAAAATTTCATAGTAGCATTTATTGGCTCAGTTGTGAAGCACAAGAGACAACTAGGAAATAAAACCGTAATGTCAATGCCGAAATACCACAGTCTAAATAACTCTTAGAAGAACTTGTAGAAGTAGTTTGTTTTTCAGATTCTTTTGTGTTTGGCCATATAAGGCCAGACACTTAAACTTATAAACCGCCTGTTTATATTGCTTTACAGGAACCTCACTGGCTAAAATACTTTGCTTCAGCGTTTGCTCTTATCCGGAACAATTGTTAATGGTGTTGCTTTTTATCACTAGTAATGCTGATACTGCTAGTATATCTGGAATGGTTCCTCAAAAGTTAGCAGCATTGGAAACAAAAATAACATTGGTCAGGGGCTTGAGTCAAAAATGTATTTCTTGTAGATGAGTGCAAGCTGTTAAATGTAGTTCACTTCGATGAAAGATACATTTGTAAAGATACATTTTAATTCACATCAAGGCTGAACTCTAGTCCACTTTACCAAATATTTCTGAGAATGCAGGTGTCATCAACTAGTCAGATGTACAAATATGCTAAATTCCCTTAGTAGTGTGATGCTTCAGAGTTTTTAGTATGTTAACTTCAATTTAGAAGTGACCTGATTTGTTTCTTCAATGGCATTGCTAAGCTGTTTAGGTACTGAAGGTTTCTT